GGGGGGGGGGGGGTCAGGGCCCGCATCTGGCCAAATCGCTCGGTCCCCCTTGAGGTAGCCGACTGGCTAAGAGTGTGTACAAAACATACACTACACGTTATACTAGAATGTGTCGATGAAAATGTCATCATAGATGCAGAAAACCTCCGTGGTGCGAATGTCTATGGCGGCAGTTGTAAATACATAAAAAATCTTGTCATTTTTACATGGATCGGCCGGGTACAAATCAAAATGGCAAAAACGCGCGAAAATGTATACATTTGTGTACTAATTAATTTTCTGCAGTGCCTTCCACGAAGAAAGAATGTACACCCAGTCTTCGGGCCATCGGGCCTAAACGGGCCTTATGAGCAGATGAGCATGTGCTCAAGAGCAGTTATGGTCATTTGCTCATACGCTCATGCAGGAATCCTTCATCAGGATGAGCAGATGAGCATGCGCTCATGAGCAGTCATGAGCATGTTCTCATATACGCTCGTCGCACAAAATTGTTCCCGACATGATTTTGAAAATCTAACAAAATCTATACGTAGTAGTTCGTGTTTAAACGGGCCTTATTAGCACATGCGTGGACAGTGTAAAAGCCGGACAGCATGTTTAATTACGTAAAATTGTTACACTTTAATAATAAACGTGGTTTATAACGTTAATCTGCGTGTTAATTTATGCAAGCAAAGCGGTGTCCTAGTAACATTATTTAGTTCCAAAAATCAGTACCATTTCGTATTCGCTAAAGACCTTAACTTTTATCCTTCTTTTGAAAAAGTTTTCTCCGCAAAAGCTATGTATGACAATAAAATGTACCACACGTTATGTAGATGTCTGACGTAACAACTCACGCGACATATGTTATGCGATATATGTTATGCGACAATGCATGTCACGCGACAATTGTCACGTAATAATTCTGTCCACAATTAAATCGCTGGCCGAAAACACCTCCTCTTCCGTCGGGGAATTAGCATTTATCACATAAGTTTTCCATCTCTGTCAATCAAAATCGCTATGAAAATTAACCTTTCCAATGCATACTTTATTATGTACACTCATGTGTTTGGCGAGAAATCTCAATATTTATCCCATAAATGTTATGCGATAATTCATGTCAGGCAATATTTGTTATGCGACAAATGTCGCGCAACAAATGCTAACACAAAATAACTGTTGACGTTAGTATTCTGTAGAAAATGTCATTAGTATTCTGTAGAAAACGCTGGCGCTGGTGATAGCCATGCGAAACTACTCTTGTATTGGTTTGAACTCGGACGCCACATTTGCCTTTCCTACACCCCATAAGTCCCAATTGTTATCTCTCAAAATCTAGGACACACGTGACCAGCCTGGACCAGGGTCTTTCCCACAGCGAGAAGCGTAGTGGAAAGAGCCTGGGTACGATGTTGCTATGTTTAGTCCTAAGGATTTCATCGAGCGAACTTGCCTTAATGACATACCATTTAGTGATAAAGTTATTGAGTCTCCCAGGGCCGCAAGCTTTTGTCGAGAAGCAATAACCATGAAATCAGTCTTTAAAACATTCAGTGTCAACTTGTTTGCACAAAGCCACTTGAATATTTTATTAAGATCAATCTGCATTTTATCTTGGACCGAATCCAAATTGCAACCTGTAAGTCATATTTGTATCGTCGGCCAATAGTCTGGCAATTCTATGTTCCAAACAACTGGGTAGGTAATTTATATATAGCAAAAATAAGACCGTACTCAAAATGGAACCCTGTGGAACCCCGCACGAAATGGTTTCTTCATTTGAATATTTTCATTTACATGACAAACGTGTACCCTATTTGTCAAGTTACCAAGTAGGATTCAACCCATTCCAAACAACACTCTTTCAAACCATAACATGCAAGTTTCATTTGCAAAATTTTATGATCAATGGTGTCAAAAGCCTTTTTAGATAAAAACAAGACGCCCGCTCGGGGTTAATCTCGAGTCGGTGGATAGGGCATCTGGTAAATATGCAAACATCGTGTAAATCACGATAGTTTAATAGTTCACTAGTAGAAATGGTGAATCAGTCAATTAAAGCTCCGTTTTATCATTTTTTTGATAATAGTTAAATACAGGAACAATTTAGAGAATTTACTGACGTAATTATTTAACTGTATTTATTCATTATTTGGGATATTTTGTGGACGAGTGAATTATTAAAAATAATGCAGCGTGCATACAGCATTATTAATTAAAAATAATGCAGCATGCATCAGTGCACACAGACATTATTAGCAATAATGAATCTTTCGTCACCCTGACCACGGGCTTTCAACAACAACAGTATTCTATCTAAATAGCAGTTAAAATAAAGTGTACGGCACCTGAACTATTCAATATCTTGCTTCTGTATCCATAAAACATTTGCATATATGCAAATGCTGTATATTTTCAAAATCCGCCATATTTATTTAGAACCCAAGCTTTCGCGGTTCACACGTAATATTAACGTCGGTGATTTTCACTAATAATATGAGGGTAGGATTAAAGTGGGCGTTGTCACTCGCTAACCCAATCAGCTGTCTGGGTTCTGTACCACGTGACCTATTCAAATCGTTCAGAGCGGGAGTAATCTTATGACATTATAACAGCTTCGATAAAATAATTTTGGGGACACGTTTGTGCCATATAAGGAAGTGGGGACACGTTTGTGCCATATATGGAAGCATGGTTTCCTCGCGCTTCAAACGATTGAACAATTGGATGATCCTTCCCCTCTTATTATTATTGAAAATCACCGACGTAATATTTCGTGTGAACCGCGAAACGGCGAAAGCTTGGGTTCTAATGTAAATAAATATGGCGGATTTTGAAAATATAGAGCATTTGCATATATGTAAATGCATGTTTTATGGATACAGAAGCAAGATATTGAACAGTTCAGGTGCCGTACACTTTATTTTAACTGCTATTTAGATAGAATACTATTGTTGTCGAATTGAATTTGTCCTAAAGCCCGTGCCCTGACATTTACAAGCGATAACGTGGGCGTCTCAAGATGAGAAGGTGACAGTGTTAAAGGCCCCTCATACAATATCATCGGGCGCCTGAAGTACTGCCAGAAGAGAAATAGTTTCGTTTGCGCTTGTGGGATTTTATCCTAGATATACGCATGTGCAGAACACACCATAAGTTCTATTCCCGTGTTTATCAACACCGCGGAAAAACGTCTGCGCATGCGTCAACCTTACCTGTAATAGTATTGCGACCTTGATGAGAAGCTGTTACGAACGTTTCCGAAGGCTCGAAATGGCGGGAAAAAAGAGTGAGTTCATTGTGCGTCTTTACAGCCAGATTTCGAGCGCAAAAATAAACATGCCATTCTAAAAACTAGGAATAAAGACAGCCAGAAGGTTCAAGAAATTGTATTGCACAAGAAAATGAACTAAAGGTGATTGTTGACAAATTTATCGTCTGAAACATTTTGTTTCTCAACTAAGCAACGACAATTTCCGAATTTTCGTTTGAGTTACATTTCTTTAAAAAAAACTGTGTCGCCAAATATAAAAAAATTTCGTGTTCACAATAATTAAACTTTAGGATTTATTCTACAATTTGAGTGGGTTAAGAAGCTTAACTTTTCGAGAGTTTTCTTAACTTTTTAGTTTGAACTTTTGTTTTGAATAATTTTGAAAAAATTTTCGAAGTCGTGTCCGTTAAAATCAACAATTTTTTACATGAATTATATTTCATTCCATACTTTAAGAGGGCCTCTCAGTAAAATCCACCCACTGGTTTGGGGAAGGAAAAATAGATTTAGCTCATATTTTGCATATGAACTAGACTTTGGTCAATATTAATCGAGCTTCTTTCAGAACGTTTCAACTTTCTGTTTTATAGGAGTTATAGCCCATGTTGAAATTTGACCTTGCGAGAGTATTTTCAGACCGGAAATGAAGGGGAATTTTACAAGAATTCATCTGATTTTTTAAAAACGTTGTGATGCGCTTATCCTCTCTAGTTACTGTTCACATGCAAGACTAACACTAATACTTTCGTTTTCATGGAGATTGAACAACTTTATTTGCTTAATACGATTTTTTATACTGTTTTACGAAACTATGTTTTCAAGATGGCGATGAGAGGTTTGAAAATTGCTCATATTTTACTTAAAATAGCTCAAAAGTGGCACCTATCTGAAGTTCAAAAGGCATGTAATTTGAAAGTATACCTACTAAAGTTAAGTAATCAGGAATAAAACTCGTCTGCAAGCAATTTTCTGAAAAGTTATAAATCTCCAAATTGGGTCTATTTTTAGCTGTTTG